ATAAATTACTAAACTTTGCAGCGTTTCCTCTTTATTAAAACCAATAAAAATGCGCGTCATTTAATGATCATTGGGAAAAGCGCTTCAATCGTAAACATCTTGACATATAAATTAAAGCAATGGAGTAAACTTGATGCTGATTTGGATTTGGAACCTGTTATTATATATGGTAGCCAATTTCCTGATGATTTTGATGGTGATTATCAATATAGCATATTAAGCCACATTATGGTTAGTTCAAATTTTTATAGCTCTGTATATAGTAATAAATTTATAATATTAATAATCAAATATTTATTATTAATAGATGTGCGTGGAGGAAGGAAGAACATTAATTTTGACAGATCTTGAAACGATTTATGGTAATGTGCTTATTTTATTTTTAATGTCATTCAAGTAATGCTTAATATAATTCTTATCATTCATCATTATTATGTTTTAAAATTTTTTTAAAAAAATTTAAAGGAAGTCTTTATGACTTGTGGAATCAAAATTACATAACCGTAGGAAAAGAAGGAAGTCAAACGTCTTATACGCGTGTTGCATTGGGGGCCTATTCAAATCCTATGGTCTGTGTTCATAAAAATTTTCGTTGTATATTAGTCCTTGATGAACAAAAAGTAGATTACTCGGATCCACCATTATTAAATCGATTTGAAAAACAGAGAATGTCTATTAGTGATATAATAGATTATGACATGAAAAAGCTAGTAAATGAACTTATAGTATGGTCGGAGCAGATATCAACACTTTCAAATACAGAAGGTGAGGCCGCTTCAAAATTTAATGAAAATGACATTTTTATTGGTTTTAATAAAGAGGAAACGCTGCAAAGTTTAGTAATTTATAATAGCAATGATCCGGAATTAGGAGATGAAAAGGCTATTTTGGATAAGTGCAAAGAATTATTGATAGGTATAGCTTTGCCAGACGGGATTGTACGTTCCAAAAAATCAATGTTAGCTAATGAAGAAATAGATTATTGGTATAATTTATATTTTCAACAAAATCATGAGAGTTTAGCTGGTTATATTAAATCATTGTTGAGAAAT